TAATGTACTAATTGATCTTATAGAGTGGGGTTCATATGCTTAAAGGAGCAATTTTGTCGGCCCCTTAACAAACATTCTCTCCTCTCACAAGTTACCTTCAAAACTGGATATATGTTAGAGTTATGTTTGAATTATAAATTTAAACAAAATTTTAAAATAAAAAATAAAAATGTGAGGGATGTAAGATTTAATAATACATGTAACCATAATAATAATGTGGAATTACACTTAATAGGATCTTGAATTCAATACAACTCAAGAATAAAACGAACATACCTTTATCAGCCATTGAATTAGAGAAGTTGAGAAATACCTCTTAGAGTTGAACCTTTAATTCTTGGCTCACATTCTTCTCTCTGTCTCTCTCAATTAGGATGACTATAAAACTTAGAGTGATGGAAAAATACTTATGATATGAAAGGGGAGTCACCCATCCTTATATAGAGAAGAGAAGAGGGCTAGATAAACTACTCTATCAGAAGAATTCCTAATCTATCAAGGTTTCCTTCTTATCTTAGAAGAGTGATTATATTAAAATTCTATTTACTGAACTTTATATATAATATTGGCTTTATCTAATTGTGGAGTCCAAATAAAATAAAACATGTAAAAATATGTACGCTATTGGGCCACACTTGAAAATAAATCCAGCATTCTCTCACTTGGCCCATTAAGCCGATTATGATGCAATTATAAGTTTTTTCCAAAAATATGCAACTTATAAAAAAAAATTGACTCATTGGATTCCACACTAAAAACTTTGACACGTGATCATGAATTTTAAAAGTAGCCAATAAGTTCAGATATATTAGAAACTATAAGACTGTGATTACTTCAGATCACCAATGTGAGTCATAGCGGTTATATAACATTTATGTCATACTTCTTTCTATGCACTACACCATTGATAACCTTCACCAACCCAGTCCATTATCGGGATATATACTTATTTTCCTGAAAGGCCCCTGTAATTTGTCTTGTTAAGACATTCCCTGTTTATCAATATTCAAATTCATGTGTGCACACACTTTTAGAAACAGAAAAAACAGAAACAAAATTATTATTACGTAAATAGTGTCAAATAAAAATAAGCACCCACGATTAACCATACACATCAAGGGTCGCTTAAAAGACCAATCCTGATAACATGTTCTTTGTATGTCTTTGGTGGCAATCCCTTTGTGAATGGATCAGCAATCATAAGAGAGGTGCTTAAGTTTTCAATTAACACTTGTTGTTTCTGGACTCTTTCTCTAACAACTAAGTACTTTACTTTCATGTGTTTGGAACCACTGGAATACTTTCCATTCTTAGAGAAGAAAACTGCTGCGGTATTGTCACAATATATCTTCAGCGGCCTGGCACTACTACAAAAACAGATAAAGATCACACTTTTTTTGTGTGATGTATGTTATTTAATCACACCTTTTAAGTTTTATTAAAGTGTGATCTTTGGAAGTGTGATTAAAAGTGGTCATTTTTAATCACACTTTTTAAGTGTGATTAAAAATATTTAGATCACATCTTTTAAGTGTGATTAAAAATATTTTGATCACATCTTTTAAGTGTGATTAAAAGTATTTAGATCACACCTTTTAAGTGTGATCTTTGGAAGTGTGATTAAAAAGGGTAATTTTTAATCACACTTTTTAAGTGTGATTAATAACATTTCGATCACACCTTTTAAGTGTGATTAAAATATTTACATCACATCTTTTAAGTGTGATTAATAACATTCACTACTAAAAAAAATACTTTTTGCGGCCGTCACATGCCGTCGCAAATAATAAAAATACAGTCGCAAAAGACTTTTTGCGACGGCCTATGCGACTGCACATGGGGCCGCAAAAGACTTTTTGCGACAGCTATTTTGCTGTCACAAAAAAAAATAAAAAAATAAAAAAAACACTTTTAGCGACCATTGTTTTACTGTCGCAAATAATTATTTATTAAAAAAAATCATATATGGGTTTGCTACAACAAAAAAATCAATTACAAGCACCAAACAATTTTTTGTAAATGAAAAATAACAAAATTAACAAATTAATTAAATTTATAATAGACATTATCCATTAATCATCTTTAAATACACTGTACTAAAAAATTCAAGTCTTCAAAAAAAAAAAAAAAGAAGAAGAAGAAGAAGAAGAGCAACATAATCTTTGGCTCCCAACATCAACCGCTCGATCATATCAACTATTCCCTCAACAAAATCTGCAAAAACATATATCAAACTTGACTTGAAAATTTAATGCACTTAAATGTGTTAGTTTAGCTTAAAATAATCAAAATAAAACTATGTCAGTGACCTATCTCTATGGCAGATCAGTGATTTGCAACAAGAGTTTCAATTACCTTAAGAGCAACTTCAAGCTTAACTATGAGATCACTTAATTATGGCGTTCGGAATTATATAATAGTATTGTGGCGAGAGATTTCCCGAAGAACTCCACCATCACCACCACCTACAACCAAAACCTGCATCAAGTAATTCAATTAAATTTAGCACAAATACCTGACAAACAGAATAATTATAGATTGCATAAACATGAAGAGTAGAAGATAGCTAGCTCTACCAACAATGTTTTCCTCAATCATTGGCAACTTAAATTACAAGTTCTCTTTCTACTTGTAAATATGATGAATTGAGGCTGAGAGTACATAGAAATATTATTTGTTCACAATTTAACAATGAGACAAAAACAAGGTGAGTCTTATATTCAATTCTAGAATTAAATTTGTCATACAATGCCTTCAATCTAATAGAAAGAGTAAATTTTGCACATAGAACTCAAATACTATTTTGTCTGAAATTCCTTGGGAAGAGTGTGCAACATAGTGATAATAAAAGAATGGTGCCACACAGCCTTGTCTCTAACGAAAGTCGAACCCTTAACCTCTCATACGTGAAAAGTAGGAAGTTGATGTTGTTGGGTTAGAAGACTGTTTGGCACATATAAAATAATTACTTAGAATCAAGAAATTTTGGAAAGAGGGTGATGAGTTTTTTCACCCAATTTAGAGTAATGCCCTGTTTCTAGAAATTAATGCAAGAAATTAGTGAGGTAGAGATGACAAGTGATGTTGATGAGAAAGTGAAATGATGGTGAAATTGAAAAAAACATGAACGATTCAAAATGAAAGTTGTAGTAGAAGAAATTGGGGACATGGATCTAGGTTTATCAGAATTTTTTTTCCGAAAGGTCTCTAAAATCATAATCAATACTTTAGGTTTACCTAGATCCAAAAACTCAAGCCCAAGATAGGGAATGAGAGGCTTTGGTATAACTATAGTTGGATGTCCAGCATAGGCCATCAATAGAGGAAGAGCAGCAATTGATGGCAATAATAATTTCTTGTTCTTCAAAGTCAGAAAGACCTAGTTTAGCATTAACTCTGAATGCAGTAATGCAAAGAGAAAACAGTGCTCTTGAAATAAATGGGCCGATAAATCCAAAAAATATGATTGGAATACTCACACTCTCCAAGGGACATCGAGGACATCATCTACAAATCCAAGTAAAATCATGAAGCAGATGGATGCCAAAGCCGCATTGTACTCAACAAGCCATTGCACATATTAATAATCAACAGTTCAGTCTATCACTAGTTAGAGCAAATAATGTTCCTCACCTAACAATGCAGAAGAAAGAGGGTTGTAATAACCAAAAAAATACAAAGAGAAGACACAATTAAGGAGGAAAAATAGAAGTACAACACTTGTTACAACTTACAACATATGACATAGAAGTGCATAACAAACTCACACATCCTTACAATAAAGTACAATTGACAAGGCCAAAAAGAAAAGATGGTCACCATATACAATAAGGTAAATTACAAAATCATTAAAACTGGTAGCTAATAATTTTTTTTTCCCGGAAGTATATTAAGAAAGCATCAAGAGGGGATGCCACCCAATTCCCAATTCATGGAAAGGAATCTGCCAAAATGGGGTTGCTTTCCAACCATCTCATTGTAATAGGTAATTTACTAAAGCAACTTCTATTTATATAATTTTCCTTATATATAATATGGATAATTTGAATGTTCAATCCACCAAAGTCCAAATTAAAAGAGGACGATCTCATCATAGTGGAATGCACATGATTCAAATTTTTTTTTTTAAAAAGTTTGTAAAATTTTAATATATAGCATAGATTTAAATTTGTATAGTGTAACTCACACATAATAAATTCAATTCACATATGATGTTTTTCTAGGAAAATTGTCTGAGGCTCTGTTTGGATCAAAAGATTTGAGGAATGACATGCAAAAGGAAAGAAAATATGAAGGATATCAATTCTCAAATCCTTAATCCAAACATAGTCCTAGAAGTGTTCTAAGTTGTGCCATAATGTGAAGAATGAACCTCTTAGCGGCATGTTTCAAGCCATGACAGAGAGTTGTGGGATAGGCTTCAGAACCAAGCATCACTTTTATTTCTCACGAGCAGAAATTGTACATAATGGGGCTGCGATGGGCCAAACGACTAGTCTGATCATTCATTACACAATCAACTTAGTGGAAGTAACCATACCATAGAGCTCCAAGAAGCAAATGCAAAAGTTCCATGAATTAGAATCATCGGTTGTGGGAGCAGTCAATATAACCCCTAAAGAATCTGCAGGGAAGCAGAGCATTGGGACCTATTATTGGCCATGAAGCAAACTAACTCGGTTTGCACATTGTCTAGTCATTCTTGTGCACTCTCAAGTTTGTCCAAGTCTTACCATCCAGAGAACCCTAGGACTCAAGACAATAGGAACTCACAACTTTGCTTGTCAAAAAAACGCTGGCCGATGCCTCCAAATTTTGGATTAGCAGAAAAGCATAAATTATCCCTTAAATTCAAGCCTGAATTTTCGAAAGTAGTTCCCTATATTTTTATAACAATTGCAAGAGCATTGAAGAACAAAAAAATGGCAAGATTTAGATTCTTACAATTTCAGGGCACTCATAATCAATACCAGCAGCTTCAATCTTCTTACGCTTTTTTGGGTCACGTTTTAGGATTTCTCCCACCAGCTTCTTGTGCTCTTCCAATGTTCTTTCCTGAATAATCATCACAAGTAAATGGTTACTATCTCTTCAAAAATAACCACATCAAGATCAGTAGTGAATGACAGGTTTTCTTAATTTGCCTCATAAGCATCCAATAATGATTGCCAGATGTCTGTATCTATATTCATACACCTTGTCATGTCGTTTCCTTTCAATTTGAACCCAGTCCACTGGCTTGTGCCATCGGCTAGGGCCTTTCCACCTTAAAAATAAAGTAAAACCATCAGCAATTCATTGGTGTCACAGAAACTAAATAATTTTACACAGAACAATTTTATTTATCTCCTCTATTTATTTACTTGATTTGATTCCTTATGTTTTTTTTTCTTGAAAATCTTATCATTTTCTACGATTATTATGGGAAACCACAATCTAACAAACTGCAACTGCTTCTGGGAAACCAAAATTTTGAAAATGCATTCCTTAACTAAAATTTATCATTCAATGAACATGAGTTACCTACACTGGTAAGAAGAATAAAAAGCAGTACAAGGTTCAGGTTTTCTTCCTGGAACAGCACTAAATTCCCCTGTTACAAACAAATATCACCATTAGCCAATCAAATTGACGAATCGAAAACTGAGAACAACACAGACCAAATAAGGGTATAGTTTCAAAATTCAAACAAGTTATTTTGATAAACCAAAGTCATCAATGAGTCTCTTTCTAGGCTTTAGAACAAACAATTGGAGTGCTATAAATTTTCAAACTTTCTTCTACACCCAAGAAAATGGGAAAAAATATAAATAGAGAGACCTAAACCCAAGTTCTCCTACAAACTAAGCTCACACCATGTTAAATCACCAACTTGAGTTATAAATTGCATTTGTGATGAAAATAAATAAATTTACTTTCATGCATACATGTAAAATCTATATTTATTTGGGCATCATGTCCTAGTTTTTTAATAATTGACACGTTCGCATGTTATAGCATGTCGTATCAATGTCCAACGTTCATATCATGCTCGTTAGGGTGTAAGTGACACAGACACAAATCGAAGTTAACCAATACTTGATATTCAAAGTAGAAAAAATTGAGTTGTGACAATTAGCGCATACTCAAAGATTCATGTTTTAACAACCAATTATCAACGAATTTAAAGATCAAATGACAAGAAATTACCTGACTTTCAGAGACAGATGATATTAGAGGAGCCAAACCACAATTTGAGACATGTACTACAAGCTCATCATCAAAACAACTCAGGATTAGGGAAATCTGTTTCAAAATAACACGAGATTAGTGATCAAACTCGTAGATCATTCATAAATTTCTAAATCTACACATACATAACAAAGATCGGAAAATACAAATCAAAGCAAAACCATCATCAATATCTAAAATTAAAAGTAAATAAAAGAATATACAAATACTAGATTTGGGGGTTTAAGATTTACTAATAATTATCATAAGCACATAAAACATACATAATCTCAATAAGAGGTATGATAGTACCTCTGCCAACATGTGGTTAGCTTCATCAAAAACAAGAATCTTCAAATAGTTCGTGCTCAATTTCTTTGTTGTCACCCATTTATTGATTGTACCAGGAGTGCCAATCACTACTTGTACTGTCACTAGTGCTCGTTTTGAAATTGGAACATAATTGCTGCTATCCATTGGTATAGCACATTCAAAAGTAATTCCTGTATAATTCCCCATCTTCTTAAGAACTTCCATGTTCTGCATCATTGTCATCCACTACTATTAGTTAAATCCTAAACTCACAAACACTTTAGAGAAAAGTCCCAACAAAATGTGTACACATGATCCATTTGCTACCATTGATTAAATATTAAACTACATGTTAAAGAACACTGATCCTTAAACCCACCAGAGAACCATATATCATTAATTCATCCTTAGTTTCACAAACATTGCAGAACAGAACATAAGAGCATCTCCAGCAAGGCTAGTTAAAACATCATCACCACCATCAGTCCAATTAATGATATGATTAAAACATTATAAATGGGGAATTAAGATTAAATTTACCTTTCTAAAGCCTGCACCTTTTGCTTAGGTTTTGTCCCATAGATAACTTGAAAGGAGGAGCTAACAATCTCTTCTATGTGAGCTGATTGCAGAAGCCTCAAATCTCTCCTCACCTAACAATCTCTTCTTTGTGTACATAAAAAGGAAGGCTAAACAGGGAAACCCAATGCATGAGGCTCCAGCTAATCACATTCTGTGTGTGTGTGTGTGTTTGTAGTGTTGTGAAACACAAGTTAACAGTCCTTCACCTATGATTTATGGTTTCATCTAGAATGCTGCCATGACAGTACCCTTGGTAATATTAATCAATTTTCTCCTTGATCGTCCTTCTAGACAAGTTTTAAGATAAAGGCATGAAAGTGTATTTATCCAAGCATATAAAAATCAAAAGTCTCCACCTGATATCAACTATTAGTCATGTATTTACCTTCGCATAGGTACAGATGAACCCAAATCACAAAGCATGGAATAGAATTACCAAAGAGGTGGAACAAATAAACGAATCTTTAACTGTGATTTGGGTAATAGTAAGCGTCACTGTGTTAAAAAGCATATTGGGAAAGAACATAGAGGAGGAGATTGGTGTTAGGCAATAGCTCAAAGGTTAGAGTACTTGATAGTGCACCGAATTTAGAAGTAACCGGTATTTTAAAAAGACAAGCCTCTACATCACTGCAGAAAAGAATTCAATGTAGTTCCAAGGCCCAATAATCATCTCAACTTTCAACTTTCGATCCTCCCTCCTAACTCTAGGTCAAACAAAAATCAATCCAAACTGTCTAGCACATACAAACATATATCTCAATACTCCCCATCCTTGCACGTTTATCTACTGAGTTGATTTGACTATCCTTATACTAAAAAAGCAACACAAATGAAATACCAAACATAAAACCATCTTAGAAGATACAACACCAAAAGATACAGATCAATCAGGCCCAACAATGCATGCACTACCAATGCCAAAAATTTGTCATCACTAGCAATGGAAGTCTTACAAACACATGAAAATTCAATTCATTCATTTACAAGTGATTAAGTAAGGCAAATGAATGCACAAATTCACAAGAACACGTTGATATACTCAGAGGATCACATTTGAAATTATTTCAATATTAACATTCTAGGTCAAACAAAAATCAATCCAATTTTGATTGCGTCATAAAGCTAATATCATCAAGTAAATTGCAGGATTCTGTATGGAAACAAGATGATGAAACCTACCCGAAGACTTCACATAAAAAGAATTCAGTCACCGGGAATTAGCCGAATATTTTCCAAAATTTCGAATCCCTCAAATTCCCTTTTCTCCTCTTCTTAATTCGTCTTAAAAACAAGATCAAAAGTGTAAAAGTCAAAAGCACAAAGTAATTCCTTAATTAACTCCTACACTCAAACCCAGAAAGTGGCAACCCTTTAGAAATCAATAGATTAATATATTTGGTTCCACACCCAACACACCACAAGTGACTCCGTAGTCAAGCAAGCAACAACCCATGTGCTCCATTTGACTATTGCACTTCTCTAGCACATACAGAGCACAGAACTAAGCACATTCAATTCAATTCCTCAACTAGGTAGACCCAAAAACAAGCCACCGTGAATCCTTTTTGACCCTTCACAGATATACATCCAAATCCCCAGTATATAATTGATAATACCAACTGTATAACTTACATTCAAAGCTATTCCACATAACTTACGTCAGAGAGGAGGGTGAGTATGCTTGAATTCTTGTATGTGCAGTGGTAGTACAAAAAAATTATTTTATTTTGGTTACTAAGCTTGAAAATTTATTTGTTTCATTTTTTTTAATAAAAAAAAATTATTATTATTTTTTATTTGGTAGAAGTAGGGGTAATATTTTAATAAAAAATATTGTAATGGTAGTCGTAGTGGTGAAGTGGCGACCGTGGTAATAGTGGTGGTAGTGAAATGGCATTTGCAGTAGTAGTGAAAGTGGTAGAGGAGATGGGTGGTAAAAGAGAGAGATAAGTGGGAGACAGATAGAGGAGAGAGAGAGAGAGACAGAGAGAGAGAGAGACAGAGTGGTGAGCGAGAGAGACAAAGTGGTACTAAAAGTGTATTTTCTTGTAGTGGATTGATAAATTGAGAGGGAGCTCAGTAAATAGAGAAGACGGAAGGGAAATAGTGAGCAACGCGAACACAATGGGGGAGGGAGAGAGAGAGAGAGAGAGAGAGAGACAGACAAACAAACAAACAAACAAACAAACAGACAAGCAAACAAAAAGAGAGAAGAGTGATGAGTGAGAGAGACAGAGAGACAGAGAGAAAGAGAGAGAGAGAGAGAGAGAGAGAGAGAGAGAGATAAACAAAGAGATAAACGAGAGAGAGACAGAAAGAGATGAACGAGAGAGCGAGAGAGAAAAGAGACAGAGAGAGAAGATAGATGAAAGAGATAGACAGAAGAGAGATGGACGAGAGATACAGAGAAAAACAGAGAGGCAGACAGACAAAGAAAAGTGATGAGTGAGAGAGAGAAAGAGAAGAGAGACAGGGACACAGAGAGAATGAGAGAGACGGACAGATAGAGAAGAGTGATGAGTGAGAGAGAGAGAAGAGAGACAAAGACACATAGAGAAAGGGAGAGACAGACAGAGGAGATGGAGTGGCAGTGGTGGAGGAGAGGTAATGGTAGTAGTAGTGGTAGCAGTGGTAGTGGTGGTAGAGGAGTGGTGGCGATGATGGTAGTAATGGTAATCGTAGAGGTGGAGTGGCAACAGTAGTAGTAGTGGTGGTAGTGGAATGGCATTTGCAATAGTGGTAAATGTGGTAGAGGAGATAGGTCGTGAGAGGGAGAGATGAGTGAGAGACAGATAGAGAAGAAAGATAGAGAGACAGAGACAAAGTGATGAGCGAGAAAGAGACAAAGTGGTCGTTAAAAGTGCATTTTCTTGTAGTGGATCGATAAGAAAAATGCCCTAGACCCCCAGTGGGAGTGACCCCACCACCCCCACTGTTTTCTAATTGGTTCAAAAAAATTTATTTATTTATATATTTTCACTCTTGCTCTCACAGCCCCCCACGTGGAGGTGGGGGTGTTGGGGGTCACCGCCCACTGGGGCTCCCCAACATGGTTGGATCGATAAATCGAGAGGGAGCTCAATAAATAGAGAAGAGATGAGGGAGAGAGTGAGCAAGGCGAACACAGTGAGGGAGAGAGAGACAGACAGACAAACAAACTGACAGGTAGACAGAGAAAGAGAAGAGTGATGAGTGAGAGACAGAGAGAGAAAGAGATAAAGATAGACAAAGAGAGAAAAATATAGAGAGAGAGTGAGACAGAAAAAGAAAGAGAAACAAGAGATGAACAAGAGATAAACAAAAAGAGAGAGAAAGAAAGGGAAAAGAGATTAACGAGAGAGAGACATAGAAA